GATAAGTGGTGAAAAATATATGCCTGTTGGCTGATCAAGTTTTTACTATTCATCAATATTGTTTGTCCATTGCAGGTGCCATTCTGCTGTGATCCTGATGACGAGGTCAGCATGATTCACATATTTTACTTAAATTTCTATGTATTGTTGACAAAAAGTGCTTAGAATGTAAGTAAATCATTGCAACGGACTGAAAATGTCTGCTGAAATTCTCTTTATATCTGTTATATTGCAATGTACGTGATTGTGCATTTCGTAATGTAAACATGCATTATCCATTAGGTCAAATAATGGTGTGTGTCACAACATTATTTTATATATAATCCCATGTTTTGCGCTGATAAGTGTTTGAGATGTACTGTTTATTTTTGCCAACAGGTCCAGTTTAAAGGTCATGGGCCACTCCCAATGGGCCACTCCCAGGTTGTAGCACTCCCAATAACACAACTATTCCGTTTTTTGAGGTGGATGTAGAGGTAAATTATTCATTTATTGACATTTAAGTATTACATGTAATAGTCTTTTCTCTTATTCAATTTATTGATTTCTTCCAGATTGCAGTAGGTAAAGATCAGGTGTAAAAGGTGTGCCAATAATGTGTTCTCCTTTATTTCTGCAGACTGGAAACAACATTCTCCATGTCGACAGCCATGCGATGACCACGATATTGAATGGTACTTACTCTCCTGGAGTTGTTGAGAAGGTATGATTCTAGAATTATTTCAGCTATAAATTTTGCTTTGTGTATTATATATATTGCCCTACAATCTATGGAGTTTGTATAATGTATTTTCAATACTCATAAACAAATTCAAGCTCTAATAAAGGAATATGAAGTAGTTGTGTATTTCAATGCAGTCACATATAACCAGCCAACTCCCAAATCATTAAATTAATCTTGTATTGAATTTCAGATTGGAAGGAAACTTTCAAGAAACTCCATTGTCATCGGGGCATATAATGAGCCATCCCACTGGACTCTTGTTGTAAGTTAATTGCAGTCTCTTTATCTACGTTTCCTGTATGGAGTCTGATGTAATTTTGACTTACATTACAAGTACCGGGTAGATTTCGCTGATTCTTGAACCTGCATGTGCTATTTACAAAAATTTGTATATCCAGCAACTGGAGAGGTGGTATACCTGAATTCATTTGGAGAAGGAATCTTCCATGTTAGGAGGGTTGTACGGGGATGGAGGTACTAGGTACAGAGATAATTAATAACTTCCTTAAATTTTCTAAAATCAAGGAAAGCAAACCACATTTTCTTCAGTCAACCCTTATGTTCCATGTGCCTGCCTAGCAGTTACATGTCAAGCATTTTTTTGTAAAACTGCTATGAGACAAAACAGGAACTAAATATTTTACACAGGGTTGTAGACAGCGGTCTTTTTTTTAAATTTCAGTAAGTCACAATATTAATGACTCTCCTTTACTTTTGCTGTTGCTGAAAAATGTATAATATTGTTGTACGTTATTTGCATAAACACTTATGAAAACTCCTGGTACATCAATTTACAATAAATATGTATTGAGTATACTTATCTTTATCATTGTACAGTACATTCATGAAAGATGCAGGGGTAAACAAAGTGTGGACAGACAGGCAAATAGCTCACCCCCGGCAGAAGGACTCCTCCTCATGTGGACTTTTTGTCATACAGGTAGTAAAATTTATCTAATTTCTGAATCTTTATGGACACTGCTGACAATATCCTACATTGTATGATACTCCCTGTTTATATCTGATTGAGCGGCTAATTGCAGCTTTCATATCTACATTCATATTGTTTATTTATTTCATTTTCATACACAGAAAAGGACAAAGGGAAATAGGAAAAGACCTTTGGCTACTAACGTAAACGAGAAAATTATGTAATTATATCATATTTATGTTTCAATAATATTTAAGAACATCTATAATGTCAACTTCCATTACATTGGCTAATTACATAATATCCATACTGCAGCCTACCCTTAAGGTATCCAGACTTGAGATATGCAGGAGTGCATACCTTGTGCATGTGACAGAAAAGATTTCTTTAAACATGTTGTTTCTCAGGGTGATGATATATCAAATCAATGGCACCTAGCGATTGAATGGGAGTGGGTATTATATCAATTAGTAAATAACATGTTTCTTGCTAATTCAGTTTACATCCTGTAGTAAATTGGCTTCTTTATTTCTCAATAGTTTGCATACCACATCCTTTTCGATGGATGGACAATGGACGATATAGCAGATGCCCACAGTTTCCGATTAGATCTGGCCAAGATACTACTCACTAAGTCAGGTAATGATACCCTTTAGTAGTTTTTTTAAATACTCTGCAGCAATAAGACTTGTTTTGGCATTTCCTGTCATCATCAGCCTGAATGTTGACTTTTTACCTTGGCCAAGAAGGTTACAAATGTATATTGTTAATATGTTTTTGTTGGTGTTTGTGTGTGTATGACTGTAAATCTGCTGCATTCCATGATTCCATGATAGGAGTGGTCAAACTCGTGAAAGTAATTGAATAAAAACAACATCGGCAGATATCAATATTTACTGTATGTAAATCAGGATCTAATTAGCATCATTGATGACAATGCTATGATTCCATAGTGGAGTGGAAACTACTGGGAATTTCATACAAGTGGCATTTCAAAAAGAAGGGAAGGTGAACATCGGTAAACGTAACTTATTCAAATAAGGAACTCATTTGAACAATTGATGCAAAGCCCCAGCATCAGTGTGCAAGCAGTTTTAACCTTAGGAAGACCGAGAACAACAGATGCTAAAACAGATTACTTAGTGAGTGAGTGAGTGAGTGAGTGAGTGAAATACTAGTAAGAATGCCCTTATTTGTTAAAATAAGAGTGTCGTTGGGTGGAGAATATGATAAACTGATATAAGTCATGCACATTTATAATTTTTATTCGTAAAGGTTAACATCATTTGGTGAAGATATGTGGTCTTGGAACTCTAGTTTATGATTATGTTAAAGAGATTATAAATGCAACTTCTACTAGTGTTGACAACTAACTTTTTATCCTTCTTTCCAGATGATCTCAGTCTTCACTGCCCAGTGTGTAGGCAACAATGTAACGATGAAAAGGTAAAAGAAAAGTGACAACTTACTCGCAGTAATTAAGGCATGTATGTTTGCAGTAAGCTTTTTTGCATTAAATTTATTTCCCTTGTAGATTTAATTTCCTTTTAATTAAATTGTCAAGTTCGTTCCATTACATTGTCAAAAGAAAGTGCCAGGTAATGGCAGGTACTTGTGCACAATATCGTACATCTAATACAATAATTGTATCTACATCTTGCTGTTATTTGATTAGATCAAATGCCACTGCCAGCCTCCAAGCACATTTCATGCTGAGTGCCTGAATAAAATGACAGGAGTCATTTGCGATTTCTGTACTTGGACAGGCCGCACAGAATCAGGTATTAATAACTTTTCTTATATTAAACATGACACGAAATGCTGACAATTGTATTTTGCATGTACATTTTAATCAATTATAAGATTATTATTTCTTTTAAATCAATGATGAGTGGAACTTTACTTCTTCTTCTAGAAGTGTTCTATGATCTTAATATAACTATTGAATCAGAACTGTTGAAAGTGTTTTGGAACTACACAATTGTTCTTAAAATGCAAAGACATAGCATACATGTAATAGATAGAGCACGGTTTGAGGCTGACTATGAGGATTTAGAACTGCCCTTTAGAACTGGATTTAGAAGGGCAGTTCTAAATCCGAGTATTCAGCCTCAAACCGTGCTCTATCTAACCTAGAGCACTTCTAGGTCCC